CCCCAAAACCCCAAAACCCCAAAACCCCTATTCTTCACTCTAAAATTGAATTTCAACATTATTCCTTTAAACATCATCTTTAAACCTCTTAATTACTTCTTCTTTCTCATAAATGTTGTTAAGAAAGTAGCCAAAAATGCGAGAACCATCAATACAATAACTGGAGTCTGTCTTGGTTTGATCTCAGCCACCTGTGGAGCAAATATCGTGAATATCCTGGCTACAAAATTTCACAACCCGAATGAGAATGGCACAAACAGTGGATGAAAAATCTCAGGGTTGACAAAGTAAGCAACTGTGAATCCTCCTTCGATAAAGAACTTGCCTGAAAAAACACAAATAGCAATAACTATGGAGTTGTTTACAAACAACAATGGTATAGCTGAAGCAAGAGACAGCATGAAACAAACAATCAAAGACTTTTTGGAACCAATTCATTTTTGAATGAAAGCAAATGCAAAATTTCCTGCAATCTCCGAGCTCGTACTTGCTAAAATGTTGATATAGATATTATCTCCAACATACTTAATATAGAAACCGACCATATAATAATTGAATGATCCGACACAAAAGATAACTATAACGCAGATAAGGTTCATCAGGGTCCTTTTGTTCTTGAGTTCTTGCCGTACTGAGAAATCCTTTCTTGTCTCTTTCTCCAACAAAGGTCGGTTTTCTATATTCTCAATGGCTTCTATCTGAGATTCAGAAGTTAAATCACTCCTATTTATTAAATCTACTCTATACAATTTTTGTTCTGTTTGGCCATTCTCTTCTATTCAGATTAGAAAGAAGGACTACCTGAGTTTTCTCTGAAGCCTGAGGGAGGAGTCTCTCCTTCAATTTGGTATTCCCCCATGCTGACTCCATTGAATTTTGCCATGTATGCTAGATTCTTTCTCAGTTCTGAATACCTTTTCTTCTCAAATAAGAATTTCGGTGATTCAGGCACTAATAAAACCAAGAAGAATGAAAGAACTGCGACTACTCATCCTACAATGAAGAAATGCTGTAGTTGTTTGCCTCCAGCCATCAGGAAGATAGTTGCAGGAATTAGAGTAAATAACGGATCTGATGATAAAATCCAACCTGTAACATATATCTGATATTGCATTGGAACCGACTCGACAGTCAGGATATAAATTGCAAGATTCTTGAAGCCAATGAATCCTAGAATCAAAAGTCCAACATACTTGGCATACAGGTTCCTCCAAAAGAACAATATAAACACTGATATTAGAGATATGAGTATTCCGCCAAGAATAGTGTTATTTTCTTCCAAATCTATCTGACTGCTTAAGACCAATTCCACTAAGAGCAAAGCCCAGGAAAAGCATAGAGCCAAAGAGCCCAATCATGAAGTCACTGTGACAGTACAGCTCAAGGTCTGTCATCCAGTTGTGGAAACTTTTGGAATCAGTGTAGTCTACCCTCCATAAGTCTCTAAATTATAAATTAGTCGAAAATTTATGAAGTGGTACAACCCCATGAACCTTACATATCATGAGGAATTAAGGCTAGGAACCAATCTTTGAATGAAACAAAAAGAATTACATTTTGAGGTACAGATTACCTACCTATCAATTATATCGCTGCCATTACAGATATCCTCAACTTCTCAAGGCTCGAACGTCTGCAAAGTGAGATCCTTTCACTCAAGTTTCGGTACAAGCTCCGAGTACGCAAGTGTATAGAAGTAAAAGCTCACTCCTTGTCTCGCAAGTCCTGCCCATAGCATGAGAACCCACTGGAATCGACCGAAGCCTCCTGCTCTCTGAATTCATTCATCAACTGAGAGCGCTTTAGAGGAAGATGGGTCTTCCTCCGAAGAGTCTAAATTCGACATTTTATATATTATTCAATATATCTATTCAATCGCTCAGACTTCTTACGGGGTTTTGGGGTTTTGGGGTTTTGGGGTTTTGGGG